TACGGAGCGTATCGGGGCATGTACATCAAACAACTGAGTTAGTTGTGCAACTAGATAGTTAAGCTTTATATCAACTGTTTTAGATGCATATAATTGAGTCCAATCAATGTTATGAGCGTCATATCTTAAGTTTATTTCAAAACGTGGCTAGGCTGTTTCTAAAAGAAAGAATATCTATGGTATGATAGATAAGTAATGAACGGTAAATAAAATTTTCACCTTATGTCCATTTGAGGGTAGCGAAACAGCCAAACCACTAACTTGGCTCTACGAGATCTGATAACTTTTTGACAGTTCGACACATATGGTTTCGGTTTGGCGACACTGTACATGAAAATTATTTTGATGGGATCTGATTTCCACTAAGTTTCGGTTTTATCATAAATTTCGAATAACATTTAACTATTTTATATATCATTGTGACCTTCTGAAATGGTTGAATATTTTATTCATGTTGAGTGAGAGTATTTTTTTCCATCACAGGAATTTCATCAGTCCACTTCTCTATACTCCATTCATTATAACATTAGAAAAAAGAGGGTCATGAAGCAGCAGTGCAGAACATTTTGTTTCCAAGATATATTTAAAAGATATATATTAGTTTTGTCGAAACTTTGAACGTTAGGTAGTCTGAAAGAGTTGGGCAATTTTCCAATTTTTACGATACCTTGGGGTTGAGATGAGGCCAGCATTTTATAAATTCATCTTTTACTCCCAAGCCAACATGGAACTAAAACAGAAACTATCTGTCTGTTGTTTTGATAAATTCTAATTGTAAGTGTAATTAGTTAGACTATTGATGAAGACATTGAAAAAACTTCCTGAAATGTCAAAGGTAGGTATGGGGGCTTAGAGCATAATTTTTGTAGGCCACTCGGGCCTGCACCGGCATCGTACATATTTAACAAAACTTAACAACAAAAATAAAACAATAACAAATTTATCACGGAAAACGGCAAAACAACAAGAAAAGCAGTAGCATTCACAATGGATGACAATCCCAGATTACGATTTTAACAATTATGAATAAATAATAGTTAATATATTAAATAAATAATAAATAATAGTTAATATATTAACTATTATTTATTTATAAAATAAGTTATAGTACAAAATTAAAAAGCTGTACTGCCGAAATGTTTGAAGGGGTTAGGCAATGTTTTTTTGGTAGAGTTATAGTGACATGAGAATCGTGCCGACACTATCCAACCCTGCTTCTTTAGGTTCTTTATGATGAACACTTTTTATTGTAATAGTTATTAAATCATTTGAGTTAGTTATATACTCATAAATTTGTTTAATAGATAGCTTAAATGACAACAGTTAAGTATAGCAGCTGGTATTTAAGTGGATATGTAGCAAATTAGCCGTCAGTCTTAAAAGTAACATGATTATTTATTGTGTCACAAAGTATACCATAAAAAGAACCTTATTTAACTTCTGTCTAATGCTATAATGAATGGAGTATAGTTACCTAAAAAGTATTTTAGAGAAGATGGGTAATGGAATTTGAATCTTATTGTACTTTACGATAAACGGTACAAATATTATTATTGTTATACTTTGTAATTCTAGACACTCGTTGACGTTGATGAGATTAAAGTGCCAACTCTAATTCCTTCACTAATGACATGCAGCTATGACTCCACTTACACATCACTATGATATATATAAGTACTATGCCATAATATATTATACGAGCAGAAATTATTTATAAAAAGATCTTTTCGTCTACCAAAACAGAAAAGCATTGTAGATTAGGTAGTTTTTGTGCCTATTTATTTTCACAATTAAATACAAAATCATACAAAGTTAGCTAGCGAATGTTCATCACAGTACACATTCCTAACTTTTATTCCAGTCTGAGCAACTGAAACGATACAACTTGTTTTTTTTACTCACCGAGACAAATAATTAGTTGATTAGATAGAATAAAAAATCTAAATTTTTTCTAACAAAATTCGAATTTGTAAATTAGAGTTTCATTGGTCAATTCATATGGTCAGAATAGAATATTTTTTCCCAAAATACAATTTATAATCAACCAGTTGGTAAGATGAGAATAAAACCCTTATCGAGTTCAGTTCTTTGCAACCAGTTGGTCGGAGTGGCAAGGCAGATTCAAAAAACTTTGTTATTTCGAAAATGAGTATCGCCTGGCTTACCTAGGATCTACTACTAAGAAAAACTACCTATATAATATTCCATTAATGCGGTACGTTATTCTGACTTGACCCTAAAGTACATCGCATTGAAGTGGTAAAGTGTCATCAGTGTCGTGGTCGCGTGAGGGAGCCGTGGAGGAAGTGGTGAGTGCGCGCGGTGACCGCCGAAAACTACCGTAGCCGGAACACTTGATGCTGCCGTTATTGATAAATTGCTCACGCGTCAATTTGAGCCTAATGTTCTATGCAGCCCGATACAGACACCTCGACACCTAACAATGCCACTTACAGGGCTAAAGATAGACGACAACATTGTTGTTCCCTACACATCATTCGGATGTTTTCCTGGTAAAATTGTTTTGAAAGTAATGTGACTGCAAAGTCGTGACCGGGAGTAGTTGGCAATAAAACACTGATTGCAATTATTTAAACCTTTATTAAGATCCGTTTGAATTTTTACCTTTGTTGCTTTCCGCTTCTCTTCACTTGCCGCCAGCGATTTCGCCGTATTGACTGACAATCATGCGTCAATATAAACTTTCAACCTCTATATCACCCCATAAGAATTGAATTTCTTAAAACGCTGAAACGCCTGTAGTTTTTGGGTGCAAAAGTAACAAACATACATATATCTATCGTTACAAACTTTCGCATTTATGTTAGTACCTACCTACTACTTAGATTAAAAGTTTAGAGCATCTCATACCTTTTAATAATTCATTTTGACGTATAACGTTCGGAATAACTGCGTTATATATTAATGGTTCAACGGAACTACAGAAGCAGTTAATTGTTATCAATCATCATAACGTACGCAAGGATAATTGGTTTTACTTACGTCGTAGAATAAATACATGTAATCAGTTTTCAAATATTTTAATATCATAATAGTTTACTTGATAAGCGTCCATAAATAAAATAAAATCTTTGTTACTTACCATTGGACTGAGTAATCTAGGTAGCTATTTAGATTTCCGTTTATGTACAATATTGATAACACTTAGTCCATTATTTACATATCTTTCTATACTATTCAGTAATATACTGTAATAAATCAAAATATGACCGAAAACCATAGTGTCATAATCCGCACTGCGCATTATGTTGATGTGTAGGGCAGATGAACCGATTTGGGCTACTGGCCTCTATTTGCCCACTGAGACTTTACATATATGGTCCTTGTGGCGAAGTTTATACAGTTTTACTGCGATATATAAAAATTCGCTTTTTCCTTATTTAGTAAAATGATCAGAACCGGGAAATAATATCTAAAATGGGTCATCTGCCCTACCTTTATTGACGTCATAATAACTGTACAACTAAAGTAAGACATTAAGAAAAAGCACCCTAAATAATATACAAACAAACACCATTCAGACCCAATATCATGTACAAAACAACATTTATGAAAATATCATGTACGTAAGAAAACATTATGAACGAAACTACAGTTTTTAATTCGTTGTAGTTTCGTTCAGTTTCGATACGTTTTCGATTCGATTTAAACAAAATTTATTTAGTAGAATTGGCCCCCAGGAATGTTCATAATTTTAACACAAGAAATAAAATAAGCTTGCCGTTCCAAGCTTTTTCAGACTTCAAGAAAACGAGAGGATCATTTCTGGGTAAATGCATTGTTATGTTCAATAAATTTCCATAAAATGTAATTGATCTACCTGTAAATAAGTTTAAAATCATGTAAAGAACATACTTAAGAGTAAAGGCTATTGTAAAGTTGTTGATTATTTAAATATAATAATAGCTCTATGCTATGTCATTAAATGAAGTATAAGAAATATTGAATATTATATAGAATGTGGTTTTTTAGTATTTTTCATTGTGAGGGGAGGGTCTAAGATCCAGAAGGAATGATTACAATACCAAGCCCCCGTTCAGCCTCACAATGGAGGAGTTTCGAGTACACCAGAACCTCCTCTTAAACAGCCGGGGACGTGCAATGACCAGATGATTGTCAATAATCTGATCTGCCTATTTGGAGGGGAAACATATATTATTGTGCTTTTGCATTATCACTGATGACAAAGGTTATCAGGAGATGATATTGCTTCTACCGTAAGGATTCTTCTAGCGCCTGCGTTTGTTCTTCCGCCATCTTTAGCAGCCAACTATCCTCCGACAGACAAGGGTCACTGGAGATGGGGTTGTCTTATGAAAGTGAATGATAAGAAGTATAAAATAATGGGTTTATTTACAATATAAATTTTGAAAATAAACCCAAAGGTTATACAAATAATAAAAAGCAAGCATTACAAATAATAAAAACAAACTAAAACGTTGGTAATATCATAAAAACATCATTAGATTCAAACACATTTTACAAAAAAAAGCTTAAGAAAAATCTCAACAGCTAAAAATTAGTTAGCGACGTTGAAAATCTAATGAAAATTGTTTTGTTCTTTAACGATGTTAAGGATTGTGTGATCTAACACAATATTTGTTTAAGATAACGCACATATAAATTAGACCAATACCAGTAGCTCAACATGCGTTTTGCTAGTTACAATATGTTGACAAACAAATTTGAAAACAAAATAGTTACAAAGGGACGGGCTGTATGAAAGGATCTATTGTAGTAGGTGAATTGTGAAATTTATGAAATATGGACATGACACATCTCTTCTATCAAAATTCAAGATGGGTATAGACAATTTTCGTCATTACGGGAGCACAAATCCCACATAACTATAAACCTTATTTAAATAGCGATTAAGACGTTTTTATGGCGTATTTACTGAGAAATCAACATTGTTGATTTGTATATTATGACGAGGCCTCAGTTACAATATATAGAGTGTCGCACAGATCATTTCATACACACTCTTTCGAGAGTGTAACCTGAGTTCGCTCTAGTATTAAGTCCATTTTTTTCATCAAAAAGTTTTTGTTCATAGCCACATCTGTGGCGGAACACTCATCTTCGGAAGCAAGTAGGAGAGGCACATCAGATCGACCCGGTGAGTCTCACGCTAATTGACAGATCACGGTCCGCGAGTTATGCCGAGTTTCTAACAAGCCCCCATTAACATAGGTTAGTCACACCCGAATATTGCACAACGGAACACCAGTGATTGTTTGTCATATCTTTACATCAAATAATACCATCTACCTTTCGATGGTATTTTTCAATTGGTTTTTAACCAAGAAATATCATTGAAATAAGAGTAGAAAATGAGAAATTAACAACATTTAAGGGTCTTTTCACAGTTAAATGTTGATCTGAAGATTTTCTTCATAGAAAAATTCCAAATTTGCCATGTTTTTCGATTTAATCGCGTAATTATTACTTTTTTATAGGAAAAATCGATAAAAGTATGAGTCATTTTGTAGCCGTGAGTGACTAATATACAACAGTTTTATAATAATTATAATTGTTTGGAATTAATTAACTAAAAATATTTTTGTCATCCTTTGTTTTAACGCCCAGTCTAAATAACAGTATATCTGCAGCATCTCTACTCTTTATCCACGTAAGCAAAGTTTCAGCTGATCTATAAACGCTCTTATAGCATCACTACAAATATTATATTTAGATTTCAAAGAAAGTAACCTTTGTCATAATGCAGAATTGAAGCATTTTTCGCTTAGAAAAATATGCAGCTAAAAGACGTATGTACAATACCCGGCGCGAAGGTACACTCCATGCTGAAACTAAAACTATGAAAAAGCATAACTTCAATAAACTTTAAAAAGTGACACTTCTATAACATGGGGCGGTTATTATCAAATAAATATACACAAAAGCTATGTGTTTGGGTTGACTTCCATGCCGTTACTGTAACCGTTCCTATAGATAGACTATAGATTGATATAAAAGTTCCTATCTGGATTCATAAAAACTTCTCGTAATCATCTTATACTCTTTTTTTTCTCTTATTTTATGAACATAGAAAAACAATGAGAAGAAACTCTTCCAATGAAAGGGGAGCAAAGCCTGGGACCTAATTGTCTAACTTTAAAATCTTTCGGTTTGAAAGATGTTGCACAACCATTGCTTGTTTCTGAAGACAGTTGAAAAAAAAGTATTTGTATTATGCAGCAATGGTTGTGCAACACCTTTCAAACTGAAAGCGATTGCAATAGATTTAAAATTAGACAATTAGGGGGCTGGTTTACGTCATAATGTCGAGTCTACAAAAATTAAACAAGTTGACGACGTTCAGTCTAACATCACATTTATGAATTAAAGCGGTATAAAATTTGATATATCAGCTAGAATACGAGAACGCAACTCCACTTGTTTCATAATTAGAGCCTCGTTCATGACCTAACCTAAACATGTTAAATGCCTAGTTTTAAAATCAAATTACCTCAATTCATCGTTTCTAACCTAGAATACCTAACGTCAATGAAATACGAGTTGCGATATAAACAAACGAATATGTTACCTTGTGCGTTTTCGAATGTGTTTAATGTTTACATTATTATCATGAATAATACTAAAGTCAATATTATTCGGCAAAAGCTTTGACGACATCACTCTTCGAAAGATGACATCCTTCTTCATATAATCATTAAGTGCTATGTTTTATACGTTCTTGGACAAATAGAGCTTATTATTTTTATTCCACTTTATTAGTTCGGCTTTCACAGGTTATGGTAGTTTATATAAATGATTTTTTTTTTCCTCTGTATCATATAAAAAGTATAACAATCAATATTCTCATTAATGATGTACTAATTTAAAATACCTACTGTCTTATTATGGATAGATAGGTATAGGTAAATGAATGAATGAATATCAGATAGCGTATGCGTTGTTCGACCCTGCTATGGTATTATAAAAAAAAAAAATGCGTCATACTCTAGGTCGTGCGTAGCGCTGTTCCAGCATTAAGGTTCTATTAATTGAAATCGAATTAAATATTTGATAAAGGTTTTATTTCATTGAATCTCTATGCTGAACAGCTAAAGTTTGTTGTGCTAATGCTAATTTGAAACAAATAAGGTTTCGCAACCAATAACGATCTAAAAAGTTAATGTTCTATATTGCCCGACCGGGACAAGCTGAGGCCTCAGAGATGACGTCACAACCCACTCGGACATTTTTATTACGACTATTCACATAATTAACTGTTATTTTGATAATGTGTTTCATACTTTAGATGGTCTTGTTGACTTAAACTGGTAGTTGAGTTGACAGCGTTTTTCATACTGATATTATCTCGACGGAGACGTCAGAATATTACAAACACTGATAAACCACAAACATTACACAGTGATGTTTTCCACAACAATTATAGAATATATCACCCGCGTCCCGCGTCTGATGTAGTTTCCCGTAAGCATTCGTAGATGAAGGAATTTTTCAAATCGGTCCTGTTGTTTTGGAACCTATTCAATGCAAATAAACAATTAAACCTTTCCTTTTAGTCGACTATAAAATCGGAAAGGAGATTATATATATGACGGCGCTGTATTTTTTTTTATATTACATTTATTACAAATTACTTAATGTACACCTACTCAATATAAAGTGAATTCATATTTCAATTAGTAAGTTGCAAGCAGAAGCAGCAATTGCATCACAAAAGGTTGTTAGAAATCGCTACTGATTGATAGAAATGTCATTCCTACTTCTATTTATAATATAAATTTGTATATTAACAAAAATAATTTTGAATGGTTTTAATTTCATAAAAACAACAATTGTTTTTTGAAAAAATGCGACGTCTCGGGCAATGTAATTACGTAACATCGACTTGTATAATTATTAAATAGTTATACAAATTATTAAGCATATAAATAATTTTGGTTTTTGAATAACTTGGAAGAACGTTGATTGAACAATAAATAAATCGTTTTGTTATTTTCTAAAAGTCAGTGAAACAAAGAATATGACGTGAACCACATCACGAGACAAACATTGCACAGCTGTGCCTGCTGACAGAACTATACGGTTGGTTTAGCTTAATTTCAGTATTGTTGTAATGAAATATTACTATCAATGAATCTTAATGAGTTTCTCATATAATATTCTGTACGATATTAAGCAGGGGTTGGCGACTCACCGCAAGCGATCCTTTACCGCCACGGGTTCCGAGGGCTGGGTTCTGGAACGGGGTGCGTCGACGCGGTTACCAGCGAATATATCATACACGATATATAGTCCATAGGCACTGATCCACCGTTCTTCCGAAATGTCCTTATTCTCGATAACGAACAATTCACCAAGCTCAATCAAAATTAGGTGCGCGCAGTTAACAATTTGAAATCACAGTAGTAAACCGTCACCCAAGGATTAAGGGTGGGGATTTGGAACGAAGACAGCTAATCGCCTTGCCCATAGACAATAAAAATTTTACCCACAGTTGTGTTGTCTTTGTATAGCCAATTATCAATGATCTGTTTCGTTACGGAACATGCCGCTCACCTTAAAGGAACGTGCCTTTAACATTAAATGAACAAATTGAATATTAAATTTAGAACAAAATAAAATATAAATAAAAAACTTAGAACTAAGATTCGATATGCAACGATTAATTGTTTATTCGATAGGGAGTGGACACACCTTTACAACAGGTCGCTTGTAAAATGTATTGCCCCTTTGTAAAGTCACCACACGAGTAACATTATCCGAACCTGGATGTAGAGCATGGACACGTGCTAGTTTCCATTGTAATGGTGGCAGGTGATCATCGCAAACTACCACAATAGTACCCTCACGAATAGAAGACCCGCGAGTCTCAAACCATTTTTGACTTTGCTGAATCTCATGAAGATACTCTCTACTCCATCTCTTCCAAAAATGCTGAACGGACTGCTGTACCCAGCGCCAACGCGTAAGTCGATTAGTATTCTCGTCCACCAAAGAAACATCAGGCAAAGCAATCAAAGGTTCTCCTATCAGAAAGTGTGATGGAGTTAAAGGAAGCGGATCAGGCGAAGCACTGATTGCACAGAGTGGACGCGAGTTCAGTATAGCCTCTATTTGACATAGGAGGGTATGCATCTCGTCATATGTTTGAGTACGAGTGCCAATAACACGATGTAGATGATGCTTAAAACTTTTGACACCCGCCTCGAATAGCCCACCGAAATGACTTGCGTATGGTGGCTGAAAGTGCCACGTTAGGCCTTGTTTAAGTGTCTCTCGATTTAAATTAGCCTGTACAGAGTCGCTGTTTAAGAACGCGAACAAATCCCTTAAATAATTATTACATCCGACAAAGTTCTTCCCACAGTCCGAAAAAATATCAGTACATAAACCTCGACGGGATGTGAAACGCCGCAAAGCCGCGAGAAAAGCTTCCGTGGAAAGCTCGGACACAAGCTCTAAATGTATGGCCTTAACGCTCATACATACAAAAACTGCAACGTAACATTTCACAACTTTAGCATTGCGCACCTTATTTGCACGTACGTAAAAAGGACCCGCGTAATCTACGGCGGTCTTAATAAAGGGTCGCGAGGGACGTAAACGAGTAGCAGGTAACGGTGCCATACGTGGCTGATTAGACTTAGGACGAGAGCGAAAACAAATAACACAGCGATGTATGCGCTGGCGCACGATATCGCGACAAGAAAGTATCCAAAAACGTTGTAATAATAAGTATTGGACTGTTTGTGGGCCGGCATGTAAATACTTTATATGCGCATCGTCAATAATGAGATTGGTTAAAGTATGTTTTTTCGGTAAAATTAATTGATGCTTTGATTCAAATGGTAAAAGAGACTTATGAATTCTGCCTCCCACACGTAAAAATTGATTTTCATCCAGAAATGGCGTTAAACGACGTAATTGATTTGAAGGCAATTTACCCTTTGAAATGTTTTCAATGTCATTACTGAACACACTATGTTGCACTAAATAAATAAGTTTTTTTAAGGAAAAATTATATTCCGGCACAGTTATATAATTAGGGCAAGATTTAATGTGTTTTTTACATTTGAAATAAAATCTAAATATTATTGCAGTAACGCGAACAAGTTTTCCTAACGTAGAAAATCGAGAAAT